ATTCTCTCTCTCTCTTCTCTCTCTCTTTTTCTTTCTTTCTCTCTCTCTCTCTCGCTCTACAAACTACCGCGTTATTTACATACCGGATGATGGCTGCGTAACAGCTTAACGCCCAACACCCACCCCACCCACGCGTTCATCCCACACACCACACCACCGCACCGCACCCGCACCCACCCGACCGATACATCGCACCACCCCACCCCACCCCCGCAACCCACCCACCGACCGGTACCCACCCCACCCCACCTCATCCCCACACACCACACCACCCACACCACCCAACCCACCCTCCCTCCACCCCACCCACCCCACCCCACCCCACCCCATCCCACCCCACTCCACTCACCCTCCTTCCCCCACCCCACCCCACCCCACCTCATCCCACACAACACACACACACACACACACACGCATGCGCGCACGCGCACACACACTTCCCTTTCAGCTAGAATGCGGGATCGCACACGCTGGGCGTAATATAATAAAAATAAGTGCCGCAATACTGCGCGCGGATTTGATAAAGCTTGATATGATATTCAGCGTAGATGTGGCAACATCTCACCCTTCAATGTCATCCTCGTCCTTGTCTGTCTTTGGGGGAATCTGTAAAATATATAAAACATTAAATGAAAAACCCCCATCTCAAATATTACGTCACTGTTTACCGATCCGATCCGATAAGATATCAACGTGTTATAGGAAATCGATTCATTCCTTTAGGAATAATTTGCAAAAAGTGTAACAATCCCCGTGTCCAAAAATCGTGTGCTCAGATTGTTACTAAAAACGACGGTAGATGGCGCCAGCTACACGCTGCGCAGACGAACCTTGACGGCGTCTCCCTTGCCGATGACGGAGATGTCGCACTTCAGGTAGCCCTTCGGTCCGCTGGAGATGTCGTGAGGGTCGGTCAGCAGCGCCCATTTGTGATAGAACTGATGATCTAATGGAGAAAGTATTTGTCATCTCGGGGAGTCTAACGTAGTTTGATTGTTAGGTGCGATATATGATGCGAGAAGGCATGTACTCATACTACATACTACATAGACATTTGATCGATAGACTTTATGTATAGATACTTTACATATATATATAGGTCATTATATACAACAGATATATTAAAAAAAATCACACTAGTAGAAATTCAGATTATCTCAAATTGCGATTGAAAATTTAATAAAAAAAAATATCATCGTTTTCTCTTTAGACAGTAAAGATTGTATCGCGACTCGAATATGTTGTGATCCACGTTTTAGAATATTACACTGGCATGAGAATAACATAGATTTTTTACGGAAACAAAAAAATCTCTACATTTTTTACGTGCACGTGTGCATTCTGTAGTCGATTCAGTAACTGCATTTTATAAGGTAATTAGTTACTGTAGCTACAGGCGTATTCACATTAACAAACAGTCAAACACAGAATAATTGTGCAAAACCTTTTATGTCAGATGAGGTATTTTATTTTTCATTAATTTTTTTTCCTAAAATTTCATTATTATTTTGCATTAACACGTTTCCTTGCCGATCCGTTTAATGTTCTCCGTGAAAGCGCACAGCAACGCCCCCCTGCGGCGACAAACTTAACTAATTGCGATTTCTCATTTCATCATATTCAATAATCCCATCCATTTTAAAACTCCGCGTACCTCTTTAGCCTTGCCGTCGGCAATAAAATGCTGCCTTCCCAAGTTTAACTTCCGCTATCCCCCTTTATCTATCTCCTCTTTCTTTATCTCCCTCCCCCCGCTCCTCTCTATATCCACTCTTTATCTATAGGGACTCATTGATTGGCATTCTGTCGGTGCTATGAAGCCATCTGTGTAAACAAACTCAGAACACACTGCCATCTTCACTTCAGAAGAGCTTGCACATCGATAGATTCAATAAATCGGCGTTCGTCTCTGATGTTAGCGGGGAAAAGAGTTATTGCCCCAATATTCCCCCCTCCCCTTTCTTCTTCCCTTTCCCCCGTTCGCCGTGTATATTAAAAAAATAATCGCCGGCAATTATGAATCTCGGTGCAGGAAAACGTGGATGTTAATTTATCTAACTCGGTCGTAGGAAACCGATAGTATCCGCTGCCACGGGCTATACGGTCGATCGGAAGGAAAAAGTCTATTGATTACTGACTACTTTCCTCTCTGGCATTTAAGTTATTCGGAATTTCTCGAGCTCTAGTTTTTAAATTTTTATTTTTTTTAAACTTTTATTACTTGCAATATATTTCCGAGAAGCATTTATCCCGTAACGGTGTAAACAAACACGTAGTTTGAAGAACGAACAGCAAGAGCAAACACATTAACACGTAGCAAGCACGCACACGCACACCGCACGCAGAATGAAAAACACACACACGGAGAGATCTAGATACCGAACTATATAGAACATCGAGAAAACGACGGTAGCTTGCGCTGATAGAGTCTATGTCTCCCTGGGTACTGCTGGAACGTACCCTGGTAACTATCTGATATGGTTAGGGTTAGGGTTAGGGTTAGACAGAGAGATTTCACGGATATCCGGCGTGCGCCCAAGAGGGCGCTCCGTCGCAGTTATACGTTCATTGGTTCTTCCCCTACATATATACCCATTGCGATTTAATTAATGGCAAATTGCCAAAATTAATATACGAACATATATTATAATATTATATATAATTATTACAACAATAACTAGATTTCCGTCGGATATACTTGTATTTGTATACGCGTGGTAGAGCTACCTACGTGGGTAGGGGTGTAGAATGTACCACTACTGTGATTTTTTTCCCGTGCCGCTCGCATAAACTTAGGCTTGTCATTAGTTTTTTTGGCATCTTGTCGTAACTTGCCGGTCTGCACACGGCCATTTTTTTTCGTTGACTTTAGTTGCAGACTTTAGAATCTGCCCGCCGCGTCGCATATAGCAATAGCAAGCATGTGTGTGTGATGGACACTGATCTCACGAACTCGTGGCGAATGTGTGATGACGTCGCACGCGTGACACGCGCCCCATTCGGCAAACTTCGGTCAACTCCGTCACTCTCCGTTATTTCGCTCCACTCGGCTGTAACACGCATTACGATTTGTTACCCGTCGGAGAATACCCGTAGTAGCGACGAGGACTAATATATATATATATATATATATATATATATATATACATATATACATATTATATATATAGCAACCTGCGTTATACAGCCGAGGTTAGACGTAGAGGCACGAAATCGGCCGAAGTATGCCGAGCGGCAGCGCCCCCTACACGTAGAAACGCACACTACTGTCACTCACACTCATCCCTATCTGCCACCACCACCACCACCACGCCCCTGCTTTGTTCATCATTAGCCCCCGCGATACGTGATTACGTCCTATGTTTTGTCCTTTTTGTAGGCGTTGCATTCACGTAGTGTGTTACGTAAGGGCACCACTATAGGAACCTTTAAGATGGACATCGCCACAGTGTATATCACTAATGGTACATTCGTGTTGCCCCTGGCACCGTTCGTTCGTTGATTGTTTTTTCGCTATTACTGTCGCCTAGCAATCGTTGTTCTGCATTTTTTCGCATCCGTTTTTTCCTCGCATCGAGCTTGCATGCGTCTCGGATCCTATTTGGGTCGCCTTCTTGTGTGTGTTGTGCCTGTCTACACGGACGCAGACAAATTCTGGATGGCCGTAGCAGCCACCATAGAATTGTCTACCATCGCATGCCTTATACTCACACGTTCCTGTATATTTACCGTAAGATTGGATGAATGGTGTCAGCACCATACATATTGGCACCTTTCCCCCAATTCTTACGTCATGTATATATATATATATATATATATATATATATATACATTGACCTACTACTATGCGTGTCCACAACTGTCTGCATTACTTGATCTATTGTACGTTTAGTTTTTGGAGCAGCGTACTAGAAGAAACAATACAGTGTCGGGTCCGCGAGAGAGAAGCGAACACATTTCCGCGTCGTGGAGCTTACGACAGAATTTGCTAGATCGACTTTAGATTGCTTACGGCGCAATTATTATTATTCAATTAGCCACGAATAAAATTACGTACAACGTAAACAACGTATATACGGACAATTAAGAAATCAATTTTTTAATGAAAATTACGAAGAAAGTAATTGACAATAAAAACAGAAAAAAGTGGCCGGCACTTGAGGGCGCCACGGTACAACCGAGAGGGCGCTGTATTGTTTCCGGTCGGGCGCGTCTGCTGCCACACTTTAGCGCGCCGCGGAAAAGGTAAGGTTCTGCTGGCGCGCTCAAACCTTCTCCCCTCGAGAGACGATGCCGATATGAGGGCTTTCTCACGTTTGCTCTGCATGTGCCTGTAAAGGCTTCTGCTACTCTCTCTCTCTCTCCAGGTCTTACACTCTAGGAATATAATACGCAGAGGCAAAACTTTGGGTCAATTTCGATGTGACGTTGGAATGGTGTTCTCAGCGACAGGTAACACGAGATAAAACCTCACATCGCGCAAGAACTGGGACAAAAATAGACGGCTCCTTGTTTTTTTCCCAGCTTAGCTCGCTGCAACTGCCTTTGGCCGGATGTTATACGCATGAACCCAGTCTATAGAATGATGAGAAAAAAACGAGATATTATTGATGCATTGTAGGTATTTTTTTAGATAACATTTTTAGATATTCGCTTTCTGTTTCGTTACCAACAGCAACCCTCCTGTGTGAGGTTTTCAAATATTCTGGTTAAGGAATGGCTTTCTTCGCGCATGCTCATACATACGCCTACACACGCGCGCACACACACGCCTACACACGCGCGCACACATACGCACATGCGCGCACACCCCAAACACAGCACACAACACACACACACACACACACACACACCACACGACACGCACAACACGCACACGCCACACGCACACGCAACACGCACACAACCCACACACACACACACAGCACACACACACACACACACACACCACACACACACACACACACACACACACACAACACCACACACAGCCTACACACCACCACACACACACACACACACACACCACAACACACACACACACACACACACGCACGCACGCACGCACGCACGCACACACACAACAACACGTACACGCACACACACACGCTATCATTTGCTTAGCTAATGATTTGGAATTTGAACCAGCCTCTCGTCATTTTCTTCTAGTTTTTTTGCCTCTTTCGCTTCGCTGAAATCAATAAATAGTATACGGAATCTTTTTGAATAGTAGAATTTCTCGAATGGCAGAAATTTTTCTTTTTGCTGATGCTTCTGAATTGAAAAGATTTTTTTACGCCTTCGAGCCCTACATCTATAGCACGCGTAACACTGAAAGGCAATCGCTAGCACGTGAAATAGCCCAGTTCTTGCCAGGTAGAGGGCGTGCATTGCTGTTGTGTACGTATGACGTCAGTGCCGGCGTATGTCGCCAGCCGAGCGAGTGTGCGTCACCATTGCTCGTCTGTCGCCCGCGTCGCGCGGTGGTTGTCATGGTAACCGCGCGACGCGGGTGGCGCAGACGAACTTGTCACCGCGTTCGATTCTCTCTCACGCACGCGCGCTGGGACAGACGCACGGTGCGCCGTAGTCTGTACCAGAGTCTGTAACGAAAGAAATCTCTGTTTTTGTAGCAACGTCCGTGGGTATATCTGGTGTGTGTGCGTGTACAAGCTACGCTGCCAGGGTCTATGGCTACGTGGGTCTACACTGTCGGAACGTACTCTTGGTACGGTCCGTATACCGGAACGTACCCTGGTACTATCTGATATGCCTGGACGCGTACCTCGCCTACTCCACTAAACGAGTCTAGGGAGTCGCCATACGCTACATCCTTAACG